TTCTCGAAGTGCGTATCAAAGGCAGTTGGCACGATGGTTTCCTACTTAGCCTAAAATGCTAGTAGGGCGCTGTATAGTGGGGAAATGGCGAAAGAACGGAGTGAAACGGTCAAAATCCGGCGAAGAAAAAGCCTCCGTTTTCAGTGACTTGTAAATCGATTTCGGACGAGTTTCCCGTATGCATCTTGCCAATTACGCTACCCGAAGATACGGCTGCATATGTTGTACCCATGTATGCATGCAGCATCACGGCCGCTTCATACCAATCCCTTTGCTTCATAATTTGCTCAGCAAATGAATGAATACGAGCGTCAGAAACGGTCGTCCGTTTGTGGGCGGGCGGGCAAGGAAGGCGTTTGGGACGTAAAGTTGTTGCTCAATAGGGCGTTATAGAGGTACCCTCCTTGGAAAAGGTTTCCGAGGTCACGGAATTCTGTTAAGCCAGTTGTACAAATCCTACATCAGTATAACGCTTTTTGAAGGTCCAGAAAGGTGACACGAAGTGGTTTTTGTCTCTCGCTGATGTTTCTCGAAGAGTAGCAGATTGCCTTGGTTGTTCTAGAGCCTTTCACGAAACGCGCACTGTATTGGCTGGTTAAACGTCACCCACTTGTCGCGTGGCCGTTGGTTGAGTATCGTCACAAGATCTTTCATAGACGCATTTTCATGTATGCTGATTGCTTGTATTTTACGTGAGAGTGTGATTGATTCTATGTTTTCAACAAAAAAAGAGAGCCTAGGAGAGCTCATCTCGAAAAATATGACGGAATTTTCCTTGCGTGGGTATAGACCAAGATAGTCTATTCTGTTTCAGTAATGCTAGAAAGGTAAGGAGCTCATTGCGTTACCTGTTAAGCTGCTGAACAATATCCACTTAACGGATGTATTTTTAGCAATCTCCTTTCGATCGTGACGTAGGCTGATAATTGCTATGTATGCCATAGTCATTTACTAAATTGACTAAAGATCATCGCAGTTACTTCAGAAATACGTACACTTGAGTTGGAAGGCGAGGAACGATCATGACATCTGGGAACTGGAGGGAGTGGGAAGGCCGTGCGTTGAAGACAGGGCACGTCCCGCCGAAGGGAAGAAGTTCTTGAAAAATACCGCCGCGCCTTCAATTTCCTCTACGGGCACGACTCCCCTCCTTCCCATCCCACCCCTACACTTCCTACTAAATCCTCCTGATTTCCCCCGCCAATTCTCATCTACTTTTCCGACTAGTCTTTACTCAGAACACAAATGGCGCCTCGAGAAAGGTGGTAGAAGGTAGGGAAGTGGGAAAGCGTACAGAAGGCATCTGAACAGGAAGAATTCAGCACGTAAGGTAATTTTTCTCACCGGCAAGAACGACCCCTCGCTGAGGATTCCCAGAGAACAAAATGTTCTGTTCGGGGAGCAGCATCTTTCACCAGATATTGCGATATCACGCTGGCATTATTGGTGAGATGTACCTTACTCCAGCTACGCACTACTTCACGTGTCCTCGCTCTCAGATGCGGGTTCTTGAGCTCCCGCCTGGGCCAGGCCCTTGGAACCATAACTCAGACCATTGTGTGAAATGAGGATGGGCTGAGAAGAGTTTTTTTTCATGGAGCACCCTGCGTTTATTCTGTGGCCTTTGTTTATATTTGTGCGCTCTTGTACGGCATAGAGGCTCTTCTTTCTCCCAGGGCGCTCCCTTGCCCGTTTGCCTGTCTCACAGCCGTTTCGTCACTCACTAGGACGTTTACATTTTACTATTGCACAAGAATGGCTTCCTCGGGATGAGCTCGCTGATCCCAATATGTAAGAGAATATTGAACATTGGGCACTTACTCGCTTGGCTTCTTGCCTTGCTCAAAGATCCACGGTGCCGATGCGTTTCACCTTTTTCGACCACTAATCCTTTGATACTGTCTACATATTTGGGCGAGTTACTGCACATCACTTCTGGCTAAGGTCTTGATGTTATTGATTCCATCCACCTTTTCTTGTAGTTTTTGCATGGATAAGGATCCGACCACGACCGGCTCAGCACAGATATGAACCTGCACTTACTCGCTTGGCTACTTGCCTTGCTCAAAGATCTCAATGTTCAAACAAAATTTTTATTCATACAACGATTACAATTCTCTACTGTTAAACCACTCTTTATATACACATGGAATGCTTAAAGTATCGTATATATAAGAGCCATGATTGTGATGTCACGAAAAAGAAAATAATAAATAATAGATAATAAATAATAAATAATGCATAGTAAAGTGTGGATAAAGCGACTGTGTAGGAGATGGTAAAGTGGCGGCTTAAGCCGTAAGCAACATTTTTGGAACTTTGTTCGCGCGTCTCTTATATAAGAAAACTGAGATGGATTCCCCGCATCATATGCGTGGGTTCTATACTAGGGATGAAGTACATCTTTTCAAGAAAGGTGAGCTGGCCTAGCTCAACTAGAACTAGCGGAATTCAATTAGCGCTTAGAAAAACTTCAAGAGATGAACTCAATTAGCTTCAGAATAAGTCTGTAGAGTCTCCAGAGCGGGCAGGAAAAGAGGAGCTTAGTGTTCGCATTGAAGGGTCCTATTGAAGGGTCACATGGCAAAAAATATTGCAAAAAAGCATAGCTACGCGCGCCTGCATGTGAAACTTCTAACAATTGCACTGTTGCGTTGGCGGCTTCTGGTTCGTAGTAGCGTCGAGTCGCTGACCTTTTGGTTGCTGCTGAGGGTCCTGAAATGTAAACGATTTTCTAAGTCTCGAGATCCTACATGTGCAGCTATTCCTCACCTTATCAAGGCTTTCAGCCATTTTATTGCAGATTATTTCTACCAACTTCTCGAATACTGCCTTCACGTTGATGTTTTCCTTAGCTGACGTCTCGAAGAATTCAAGGGCTTCAAATGTTTCCACATTTCATTAAAATCATTTCACAATCACTGAATTAAGTGAGGCACCATTCATACTCGGCGAACTATCACTTTCGCTCGCCTTGGTTACGTCGTTCAGCTGCAACTGAGCACGCCGCGTCTAAGCAAACCCTTTTGGGAGGGGGCTGAAAACGCATCTCGTGGCGACGCGCAGAAAAGCCGTTCTTTATCAAGTTGAACAGGAAAAGTCTTTGACAAAAATTCAAATTACCAAAAAATGTTGAATGAGAGCGGATTTTTTCGCAAGCGTGATAGATGTTTATATACGCACGAAGCTGTCAAGTTCTATGTAGGAACCCTTCAACTGAGCTAAGGATGGTGAAATGGGAAGTAGCGCCGCTGACCATACGGGGTAAAGCTCGGACCAGGGTAAAGCATTATTGGGAGAGTCCCATCAAGGGGATCGTACTTGTTCTCTGGGGAAAGGATTCGCATCTGGCCTTGGTAGGAATTCTTCACGGTTAGGCAAAACTGGCACTGCTCCTGCTTACATTAACCAGCTCCAGAATTTGACCGACGATGCTTGCGAAACATGCTAGGAGGGGTTTACTATGCACATGACAACTCGTTCCATAGGTCGTGACACTTTCAGACATATGTCTGAAAGTCGCAGATCTTCGATGGCATCCCTTTTTTCTCTCGTGGTATTCTCTCAACCTAGTACTTCCATTTCTGCCGCTTGAGCATCATGGAGAAGGGGGAGAGGAGTTGAAAGTTTATGGTGAAATAGCAATCAGTTGATTCTTCGAGTCACAGCCTCATAAAGGTGAAATGCACGATGAATTTTCTATGCGTGTAAGATGAATACTCCAAACACTGAAGATACCGCACCATTGAGCAGCCTTATATGGCGTATTTTCCAACGAAAAGCGGTCTTTACGCAAAAAAGAGTCCGGCTTCACTGCATTAAGCGACACGGTAGAGGGTAATTGTTTTTCTATTGAGCAGATCT